ATAAGATAATAACCAGTTTGCTAACACTGCATTGATATAAAAAGAAGAAATACCTTATCCGTTTAATTGGGTGTAACTATTTTCACTTATGTAATTTGTACTTACGAAAGCTTGGATTGAAATGCGTTACAAATTAGATTGATAGCTTCATTTGTTTTTTTATTTCATCTTTTTTACAGATATCATAGACGACACGAGCCAATAATAATAAGGGGGGGAGGACGTCGATAAAGGGAGCTAGTAATAGGCTTTTTATTACAAAGGAAATGCTTATCAATGTATGGTCCAACTTTTTAATGAAGGACTGGGTGAACTGAATCTTTGTCCTTATTATAGGTTACATTAGTTTTTTTTTTATTAATTTGTATATTTACAACCGTTCGCCTGACTCCGTTGCGTGAAAAAAATTAGTAAACAGCCTATGTATTCTTACAGGCTAAATTTGATCAGCATTTATTCTACACATTCTAAGAGACATCTATCAAAGATTTTTTTTTTTAGATTTTTGTATGTATTGAAATAACTCAAAAACTACTGGGACGATTTCAAAAATTCTTTTACCATAAAGCTACGTTAACATTGCGTAACAGACTGTTTTTTCTATTTTTTAAAATATACGCGGGCGAAGTGGCGACCAACGGTTAATTAGTAGTATTTCATTCGACAGTCTAGGAAGATGAGGGAAGCAGTTGCCCTCCTGCCTCCTCGCGTCTCCCGTGTTCGTAATTGTATACTGATTTCATCATATTAATATTATAAATGCGAAAGTTTAGATGAAGGATGGATGTTTGTTAGAGTTTTTAGCCTACACGGCTTAATGGATTTCAATGAATATGGTATACAATGAATACACGCGGACGCAATCGCGGGCTAAAGCTAGTCTGGAATAATTCAAACTTCAGTTCTGATTAAGTGTTGCCAATTTGTATTTCAGACGTAAGTATGGATAAATGATGTTCAATTCCATAGCAATTGAGCTGGCAGTTGTAATTGTAACGGCCATGAACCCTTTCGGTTACTTTCGTTTCGAACAATTATAGTCAATTTAGTTTTTGTGACCTTGTTTTATCTGCCAACATAACGTAATCCTTGATAGTCTGTGGTCGTAATTAATATGACATAATGTCCTTGTTACAATATACATTTACACTTTGTTATTCTTCTAGCTTTCGCCCGCGTATCCGCGTCTTTCGTCCGCGTGGAATTAAGAAAAACAAAAGTAAGTAGCCGTGTTCTTTCAGATTATCTCTAAATCTATGTCAAATTTTATCCAGATCCGTTTAGCTGTTTAGCTACAAACTCTAACAAACATCCATCCATCTAAACTCTCGCATTTATAATATTAGTAAGATGTCCTCGAAGTTTTCACTGCAAGGAACTTATAATCGAAGTTGCTAGAGAATTGTTTTTCAATAACTTAAACATGAAGTAGGAATTTATTCACTTTGTTGTATCTTAAATCCACAAAGAAAATATCTACATCTCGTTTATATTTTTCAAGGAACAATGTATATTGCCAGATAAAAAAAACTATTGTCATTTGACATCGAAATATATTCCCGTAGTAAACAAAACGTTTGCGTGTTACATTATTCATAAAATACGTTTCGGAATGTTTTCGGTAATAAATACTATGTTGTCAGGGAAAATTACCAAGGTGAAGTAATATACCATGGTTTAAATTGTGGTTTACAAAATCGCTGACAACTTGATTTATAATCTGTGAACTTTACCGTTTAAGGTTTGGTTTAACCTTAAAAGCGGAAGCACATCTTTGACTAAACTATCGCACAACCGTTGTGCGATTATTAATCTCTTAGCCCATTCAGTCGCACAACTAAAAATTGAGTAGTGCTCCTCTATATAAGCTCATAGGAATCAAAGCGAGACTAAAAAGTTGTGCGATTGTTTAGTTGCCAATGTACGCTCTTAGACAATAATATAGACCTACAAGGATAGACAGACATAAATTATATTAAATTATCCCCAACTGGCTCTTTTATGCTATTGTCTATGTCGATATAGGTTACAAATATTTTGTGACAGACCGGCGCGCCTCTATCACATGTCTAAACATCTTTGACTAAACTAAAAACTATATAATGATAAATATGAACAGTTTTTATTTTTAAAAAGTTAAAAAAAAAGCACTTATTAGTTTCCTTTTTTTTTCGTGGAGAAATGCTTTAAGTATATAACCCTTGCAGGGACAAGGGTGGTTATGTCGGAAGGGTGGTTACTTACTAGTTTCCTGCCCTATTCATTCATTCCCGCGCTTATTCTACGTCCTATATTCATCCTTATCGAAATATTCTAACTATTCATACCAATGATAAAACGCAGGAATATTTATCGAAATTTCTGGAACACGGAAATTTCTAAGAACATGATGTGTTTGTAAACAGTTAATCATCGATTTAACAGAACTCTAAATATCCTTGAGACGTAATAACAGACAACTAAACGATCTGTCTGTTATACTTATAATTCGAAGTGTTAATACACGGGGCAAGAGTGTTGCCAGAACAAAGGAACCTTGACATTCTGAGCTTGTTAATCTTTGAAACTGACTAGATATGGGTCAATAGTAAGCAAATGGTTTAAGTAAAAATGCAATTAAATAAACATTTTAATAGTTTTTATAAAGGGGAAAATTTACAAAACCGTCGTAAGATCTATCATGATGTATGGATCTGAATTTTGGGCAGTAAAAGGGACGGATGAAAGGAGAATACATGTGGCAGAAATACGAATAAGATTAGATAAGATACGAAATGAGTTTATTCGAGAAAGTTTGAGAGTAGCCCCAATGGTAGAAAAATAAGGAGTAAAACGTTAGCGTGGTATAGGCATGTTATGAGAAGGGGTACGCCGGTAGCGGTAGAACTAGAAGGAGATGGATGGATGGCGTAAAAGGAGAGATCAAAAAGGGAGTGATGACTGAGATGACGGATGATAGTTATTTGGAGGACGAAAACCCGTTGCGCCTTCACTACGAGAGTAGGATAAGGCAGGGGCAGATGACAACGATTTTTCTAGATAATATTCTAACTGTGAGAGATTTTAATAGACACACACCTGTAATATGCCACCCAGTATGGCCTCTTTATGAAGTGCCAATAAAATAGTATAACACTTGTATAAAAGTAGGTGAAACTCAGATAAAAATATTTAAACA